ATATTTTTGACATGACCCAAATATCGATCAATTAAAGCATGAAACGCCTAAATACAAAATTTGAGTCCAATCGGATAAAGCATAAAAAATATGCAAAAATCCGAGGTCTAGTCATCATGAACTAAAATAATTACCATTTATTTAGAAATTAATTACCATTTATTTTTGATTTGATATAGTAATTTATATCCTCAGCCGAGGTATCAGGCGCAAACCTAGACACAAAAACCATTTTCATGACACGGGCCATTGATAATGGTCTTTGGGTAGGTAGTGGGACAACACCTGTGTACTATGAGTAGATTTGGCGGTCTTCTCAAGACTACTGTTATCAATACTCGTAGCGTTATGAGGTATTGTCACTTCCAATACATCCTTGCTAGCTTCCATGGTTGCATGAGACGCGACACTGGCATAAGTCTGATCATTAACAGCATCAGTTTTATCAATATTATCTGATGCTGTTCGTGATGCAGTATTCGCAGCAGAAACAGAGGCTTTACGAATAGGCATCATTTTAGTTGGTGCCTTCTTCGAAGACCGCTTTCGTTTCTGCCCAGAAACGGACGGTGACGATACAAATTCATCGAGTTCTTGGTACTTATTAAACAAATTCGAAAATTTTTCAAAACGACTTGTTAATGATGTAAAGTCTTTCTTAATGGATACAAGCTCCGATTGCAAGTCTTTTACAAAATTATAAAAATCGGCAGAAAGTTTTCTACAGTGAACACAGCACCAACGAACGCCAACATTGTCTCTAATAGTATCAACTACTTTCGCGTTGATACGAGCACACTTAACATGCCACTGATTTAAACAAAACCAACATGTAACGCACAATTCATCTTCGTTAGAGATGTTACACAATTCAATGTAAAAAACGTTTAATTTAATTATTTGAAAAAAGATAAAATTATAAAAAAGTAGCTGGAATTCGTAATCCTTTGATTTCTACAAAAAAAAGTCTTATTGGCAACTCTGTTTTGAGAAGATAATAAGAAAATAAGCAAGTATAATGCTACAACAAACAAATGAAGAAATGTAGCAAGGGAAACAAATAGGGAATGGAACACAGAATACCAATTAGAAAACAAATAGATTTTTATTATTTATCACAAAAAAACTCACTACACCAATTAGCACAGACAAATCAAAAATAGATTTTAAACACTGTTAACACTTCTTAAGATTCACAAACGAGTTAAAAAAATAATAAATTCAATTCCATTGTATTTATGTCAAATTAACCCTCATAAAGTAGGTTAACCTGGTAAAAAGTTTTAATATAAATGTCGTTATAGTACGTTTACATTTAACCGGATTTCGTTAACCCATTGGGTTTCAATTGTCAATTCCTTTGCATATACGTCAAATAAATTCTCATAAAGTAGGTTAACCCGGTAAAAAAGTTCTAATGTACAAGTAGTTTTATAAAGATATTGATAAAAAGGTGTAATTCAAAGTAGAATATAGATCCTGGACAATATTGATCGACTCGAAAAAAAAACAATTAAGTTTCCGGTCCACTTCATCCCAAAATTATTATCTGATCATCGCCGAATATTATAGGCGTTGTCCTTGACCATAACTGGAACCTCATGGAACATTTCAAACCGATCAGCGCTATATTTTCGCCCTCCAGTGTGGCAATTGGTTATTAAATAATATCTCAGTACGTAAACACCTGTAAATATTTAAGTGTAACTCCTATGTCAGAGTACATACGACAATGTAATTGGTATCAATTTAAAGGTCAACCACTCCTCTTGGAAATACTCTCAACTTCTCGGGTCTATGTTTTTGTTTTGTTAGTTTTCACACAAAAGTCAGGGACTATTTGACCCGCTAAATATTGAACGATCTTTATGTAAACATACATGCTTATTCTTTGGCCCGATCCCCTTCTCCATGTAAAATTTCACGATTTTCGGACCATAATTGCGGCCTCTAGAGCGACCAGAAAAACCGACAAAATTTTAGTTTTTGGTCCATCCCCTAAATATTAACCGATCTTTACCAAAATAGGGGTCTTCATTGGCCAGAACCCATCCTACATCCTGTGGCCTGTATCGTGTTTACAAATTATAATGGACAGACGGACGGACACACATGTCTAGATCGACTCAGCTAGTCGAGATATGACGATCGGTATACTTAAATGTAGGTCTAGGACCAATATTTCGCGGCGTTACAAACTCTCGGGGCTGCACAAAGCTATAACACCCTGACAACATAGTTGTGTAGGGTATAATGACTTCAAACCAAAAAAAAACTAGTTTATAAAAAAGACATTACATTTAATATTTCTTAAATTCCATACGAGATATTAACTTTGTTATATTATTTTTTTATTCAATTTGCTTAATTTTTACCGCTGTGGAAAGTTCACTAAATGCTCTTTCTAAGGACACTTGACCTGATGGAACTGCTAAAACTATTTCAGCCAGATTAAAAAAATCTGTTTCTTTAATTTACAAATTTTTCCATTAGTCAAGTATATTCTTTGCGAAAGGCATCTTTTTCCATGTGCTAAATTTTCCAGTTTTTGGCGAATATTATCATTATTTTGGCTTGATTGGGTACTAGTCAAGTTATTTAATTCTTCTTCCGAAATTTGATAAGGGTTGTCTCATAATAATATCTTGCACATTTATTCTTAAAATACTTTGGCCCATTCTGGTAGCAGCATCAACTTTTAAACTTATCATTTTCTTCGATAGTGTTTGTTTTAAATAATTTTTAACATTATTTGATTAACAATTTATGTGCTCAATAATCACCCCTATTCCGTATGTCGTCGTCGTTGTCGACGACGTTTCTCTTTCGACATCACTTCGACACTGATTTGGTATTCAGTAATGCGGTGTACACACTATCATTTTTGACTGTCAACTTTTTTATCGATTACTGACTGTCCAACAACCATAAATATTTTTGTGGTTGTCTGATGAATCTATTCAATACTTAATGCAAAATAAAGTGTAAATAAAGAAAAATATATGGGATCTATATATAAATCTAAACCGATTTTGACCAATGTCAATAGGACTCGTCTATGTGGAAATAAAATTTCATCCCAATTGGATGTATTTTTTCCAAATTTCATCCCGTTCGGATCATAATGGTGGCATGTAACTTGTTTAAAATAATACATGAATGGAGGGACATGCATAAATCGACTGAAAAATAAATCTATGTACATACTATATACTAAAAAGTAACTATGGGTCTATCTCGTTTCTTTTTGGTCGTTGCAAACACATTTACCAAGACATAATGCCCTGTGCCACAGTGCGTTGAAGGATACAAACACATTTTTGCCCAAAAATATGCAACAAAATTTTTGTTTTTATTGATATTATCGATAAATAGTCGACATCGTCGCATGAGTGCTACAGAATACCAAATCAGTGTTGAAGTAATGTCGATGTCGATGCGAAGTGATGTCGAAAGAGAAACGTCGTCGACGACGACATACGGAATAGGGGTGAATGTGTAAATAAAGAAAAATATATGGGATCTATATAAATCTAAACCGATTTTGACCAATGTCAATAGGACTCGTCTATGAGGAAATAAAATTTCATCCCAATTGGATGGATTTTTTCCAAATTTCATCCCGTTCGGATCATAATGGTGGCATGTAATTTGTTTAAAATAATACATGAATGGAGGGACATGCATAAATCGACTGAAAAATAATTCTATGTACATACTATATACTAAAAAGTAACTATGGGTCTATCTCGTTTCTTTTTGGTCGTTGCAAACACATTTACCAAGACATAATGCCCTGTGCCACAGTGCGGTGAAGGATACAAACACATTTTTGCCCAAAAATATGCAACAAAATTTTCATTTAATTTTGCACTAAACTGGTTAGAACGACGATTGGTTAGATTTCACTAGTAGAAGCGTTAATGAAATTAAAATTGTGGTTATGCATGGACTCGTAATGCCTTTTAGGGTCGTACCTAAATTCATGCGTATACGTACGAATTTATTCACCTCAAAAGTTAAATACATGTATTTCAATGAATGTTACTCAAATACGCATTGCGTATAAAAATATAAAGTTGAAAATTTTCAACTCTGACAATGCGTATTTTGAAATTTTTGTTTTTTGAAAATAGAATTCTAATCATTGAAAAATTTGTTTTTCGATAAATGTGAACTTTTTTCGATCAATTAAAAAAATATTTTCGTTCATTTTCGCCGTTTTCAATTGGCACAGATGCAAATAAAGTCCTTGCGTATTTTGGTAATACGGACGTCTAACAAACCCTATAAAGGTGAGTATTTTTGTACGGAGCGCAGTAAATTAGGTACGTCCCTTAATTTATCCTAATAGGTTTCCTTTAAGTTCCTTTTGACACAAATGGCATATCGAAATATTTGTGTCTTTATTATATGAAACAAGCGTTTTTATCTATATTTGTCACTTTACCCATTTTACTGCGTATCAGAACAAAAAATTACAACCCTCATTGACCAAATGCCAAATTTTGACTAAATAAATATACTTATCTCGATTAAATTTTCTGCGGAGATAGGTTGCAGTGTTATTGAAGATTATACAATGTATTTTTCATATTTAGTTATACGATTTTTTACTTATTTGAAGTTATATAAAACAGATGCCGACTATTGGTACATGCTGGAATTAGGTGCGTTTACCCTATATAGATTTTTTTAAGTTTCCGGAAGTATGAAGTTCTTCCCAAAAAAATAATGTGGTTGTAATAAGCATCAAAAGGATTATCTGTAGTATAAATATCAAACACTTCGGCTTTGTAATGCAAATATTGTGGGTATTTCTGGAATTACATATCTTGGAAAGTACTGATTTCCCTTGATGTGGTTGATGTAACCAGTATCAGAAGGGCTACCCATCTTAAAAAGTGTTCTGACAGGTGCCAGTTAATTGCATTTATTCTGTACATTATGTAGCTTGTGTTTTGTACTGTTTAAATTAATGACTATTGTTTTGTAAAAAATTATTTATTCTGAAGCAATATAGTTCCATTTGTACACATAGTTTGAATACTACAACCAGATTCAATATGTTCTATAACCTGTTGCTTCAATTGTGCAACGTGTTCTTTCAAACTTTTAACTATTGACGCAAGATCCGAGTTCTCTCCTTTTAACATTTTCACCTTTTCTTCAAGCTTAGAAATTCGTTCAAGTTTTCGTTTTCGACATTTGGAAGCTGCTACTCTATTTCTTTGCCGTTTACGCTCTAACTTTATTTTCTCTTGTGTCTCCATATCTATCGGGCTAACAGGAGGTGATGTTGAAGCATGTTGAGGCTCGTCCTTAATAGGAATTGAGTTAAATGAATCTGTAAACCAGGTATTTTAATATCATATCGTCAATTCAATATAAAATTACCATACCAAGCTCCGTATATGTAAATGAACCACCACTCATTCCAGTACCAATGTTCGCGTTTGTGGTTACTGAATTTAAAGAAGTTGGTATTGAATCACTTCCACAGTTTGTCCTGCTAACTTGGATTTGTTTATTATTGCTACTATGTAGACTGTGTAAAGCTTCCTCAAAACCTTTGCCAAAGGCCTCCTGCTCCGAGGTAACTGCACCAGTTTTTGTTTGGAAAATCGATCCAGGTTGTGGTGTAGGTAGAAAATGAAGTAATTTGTCAAGATCCGGAGTTGTTAAGGGTGGGGGTTTTTGGTGGTTTTCAGATGGAGACTCAATAACAAGCGGAGATGGAGTAATAATCCGTTTTTTATTTGTGTTCTTTAAGTCTAAAGATGCTGGGCGTTTGCTCACGTTTCCTGTAGGAATGCCATTTGCCGAGTTTGGTGACGAAAATATATTCTCAGAATTGTTAATTCCGTTTGATGGTTCGGATTTTATTAGTACGTTGGGAGAAATGTCGTTAGAACTTGAAGAGTTCTTCATTTTCTTACAATAAACACAACTATGATTAGTAAACACACAAAGAAATACAATAATGAGTCATCGTTAGTGTTGTATGTAAAATCAATTACCAAATAACTCCCATGTTAATAATTCAATAATGAATGAAGCTCATTTCTTCAGGCTCTAACCTAATTCAATGCGTCGCGTACTAAAATAAAATAACCATATTCTCACCTTTATAGTTACGATTGCGGGTAACCACATACTAAAAGCGATTTGGCGACGATTCCAATAAACCGCGGCATTTTTTTCGCGAATATTTTCTCACATTTACGTTCAATACATTCTCCAGCAATATTTCATTTAATATTTGGTAATTTCTCGTACTAATCTCAAAATGAGAGTATTAAATATAGTCGTCGCGGCTTCAAAACATCCCAAATAAGTTTAGAATAATAAAAAGGGGGTTTTGCAAAATATATCGCGAGGACAGGACCTTAAAAACTATTAAAATCAAAATCCGACAAACAAATTATTTAAAAAAATATCGCGAAACCCCATTTTCAGACTTTGAAAACGTTATGGTCCATTAATATTGATCTAGGAACCAATATATGCGATGAAAATAGCAATAAGGAGGCCAGATTCAAAGATATGAACAGTTCTAAAATAACAGAAACTACAAAACAGTACATGCATTTGGGAGAAAACATCATTCTTCGTCAAATACTATTGCGTTTTGAAAAACTGTGGTAGCTGGTGACGAAGACGCATTCAATATATTACATCAGTTTAACACCATCAGTTGCGAATAAAATGCAGCAGTGAATAAACTGGTCGATCTATTTATTTTCGAAATAAGATGTATTTCTGTTGCCACAAAACCGTTCATATCTTTGAATTTAATACTCTCATTTTGAGTTTAGTACGAGAAATTACCAAATATTAAATAAAATATTGCTGGAGAATGTATTGAACGTAAATGTGAGAAAATATTCGCGAAAAAAATGCCGTGGTTTATTGGAATCGTCGCCAAATCGCTTTTAGTATGTGGTTACCCGCAATCGTAACTATAAAAAGACAAAGCGTAAGTTATACAATGATTTTTTCAAAAAGAATAATAAAAAGCAAAATACTTTTTTGTGATAATCATTTTTGGTGTGGTATAGATTTTGGCCGATATCTTCGAGACCAAGACCTATTGGTCTCGAAGATATCGGCCAAGATCTCAGTGATTCTTGCAGAAATAAGATCTAAATAAGTCCACAAACATATCCCATCATACATAATTCAATTTACATCTTTAGTATGCTGGCTTTAAGCGTATATATTAGAATTTTGTAAAATTTTTATTGAGGCAAAATACTTATTACACTCACTATATTTCAGAGAAGGGAATTCTATTTACAAAAAGTTCAAAATACATCGTATCAATTTTGACAATTTTTGGGTAACATTCTATTTTAATGAATGTTAAGTGGCCCACACACGCCAAACATGTGCGTTCGATCGGAGTGAATCGAAGCAATGTTTGACGTGTGTGGTACGGTGTTCACACCAATTTGCCGGTGCGCACACCGATCGAAAGAAATTAAAAATTTTTAATTTTTCGTTGTGCGACGCGCACATGTTTGACGTCTGTGGCCTGGTGTGTGGATATTATCTCATTTGTTGCGAAATTTCGTGGAGTGCGGATCAGCGGACAAATGCAATACATATGCATTTGGAAGATTTTTTGATGTTTTTTACACATATTCTACTGTGTGGCAAATAATAAATAATGTTTTTTTCCCGGAATAAAATAGAAGTATTTAATACATTTATATTGAATAAAAATATTTCGTCTTTTTTCCGTCATCACTATCGCGGTCTATCTTCAAAAATAAATATGAAATGGAGTTTAGTGGATCCGTTTGACGTGTGTGGGCTAGGAGCTTCACACCGATCGAACGCACATGTTTGAGGTGTGTGGCCCACTTTACCCAAAACAGACCTACCTAAAATTCAACGAGCTTGTTAGACGTTTTTCACTACAAAAGTAGAACACATGTATTTATATATATGAATGTCAAAACAAAATTTCAAGTTGAACAATTTCAACTTTGACAGAACGTATTTTTTGTTTTTTTGTTGTTGTTGAAAGAAAAAACAAAATATAAAATTTCGAATGTGAACACAAAATATTTGGATTAATTTAATAAATGTTTGTATTATTCTCTTGAAGATATGGATTCGAAGTATTTGGGTAATACGGCCGTACACAACATTTTGTAAAAGTGGGGAAGTTGAATTTTTCTGTACGCCCCGTCGGATTATAGGCAACGTTGAAATATATTTAACATTTCAGTGAATAAAATCGTACACATACGAGTGAATTTAGGTACCGGCCTTATAGTTAGAATTAGTTATGACATAAACCTGCCTACATAGCAATAGCAATTAGTTTTATCGAAGTTACAGGGTGATGCAGAAAAATTACAATTTCACATTTAGTACTAAGGCCCGTACCTGCGTTGCGTTGGGTATTTTAGTATCGACTTTCTCACCATTACGGGGTTATTATTTACATGTGTGTCAATTGAAAACGACGAAAATGGATGAAAACCTTTTTAATTGACTGAAAAATGTTTACATTTATAGAAAAACAAAATTTTCAATGACTGCAATTATATTTTCAAAAAACAAAAAAAACCAAAATATGCATTGTCATGTTCAAAATTTTCTACGATAAAATTTTATACTATAAATTTACAACTACAAACTATAAATTATAAATTGAAAAACATGTATCTAACTTTTGAGGTGAATAAAATCGTACGCATATGCAGCAATTTAGGTGCGACCCTAATATATCAAATTGTTGGAAAACAATAATAGATGTGTCTATTTACTCGATATATCGTTACAATTGTTAATGGATGTTGTTTGTTTATGGTGTTTTTACATGATATGTATTTTACATATGTGCTGTCACTTGTTTACATATGAAAATCGAACTCGTCATGTGAAACATACGGAAATTTCAATGTGTCAAAACGATATGCAATTACATATGTATTTTTTCCGAATAGGACGCGCTCTATTTTCGTATGTGAAACATTAGGAAATCAGCTGTGTGAATGAAGGACACTGTTGGCAGAAAATATTTCAATTGCAAGTCAAAGAAAAGTATTAAAAGGCAACGATTGCAAATTATTATTTCGTTTGTAGGTGTTTAATAATAAAAAGATGTTGATTTAAGAAAAAAATAAAAGTGTTTTTTTTTTGTTTATAGGTTATGTCATATGTAAAATACATATGCCAATTTGAACACAAAAAATAAATGTTTTGTGTACCCTGCTAATTTTGACACACATAATGTCCTTTTTTTGTTATTTTCCAGGAATAAACCTAAACTCGGCTGGCTCCCAAATGACAAGACTGGCAGGATTTCGGCAAAATAAAAATAGCTGCGTTTACTTGGTTTGTTTGTGTAACTGCCGATGTTTTGAAAATATTTATATTTTATGTTCGTTGATTGGCTTTGTCGGTATGCTGGCGTTTTACGCGGCTAAAGCTCGCCGGATGAGGGGTGGTTCTTGCCAACCAATAAACGATACGGCTGTACAAAAACAAACTAAATCATACCGGGCTTTTAATTGAAATAAATTAATGAAATATTGGGAAACCCGAAATATGCCAGAAAAAGAAAAGCTGAAAAAAAGAATGAAAAGAAAATAATGCTTGTAGTTTAACTACACAAACCTATAAGTATAGAAACAGTTGTTCCCCAACGGTTAACCTGCCGAGGAAACTCCCACCCACCGAGATTCCTTCTCGCCATGACACATTTTTGTGTCCCTAATCTGACCTACCCCTTTCTCTCCTTCACCACATCCCTACCACCTTCCTAAAATATTCCTTATGCCCAATACATTTCAATCTATTTACAGAAAATTATATCTTTAATTACCATATTTTTTTTCTCCACTATTTTCAGGGTAATCTTCCCCAAAGCTCGCGTATGGTATGTTCGTAAGTATATAGTAGCCTTTTTTTAATACATTCCAGTATTTTTTTTATATTTTATGGTTTCTTTTTTTTTAATTTTTCAAATATATAGAAAGAGGCAACCAAGGTGTATCTGCCTTTACACTTTAAAGGCTGTCTATGTTGGTGGTCCCTAATCCTGGCCTGAGCTCAACCCCGAATTAGAAAAAAACAACAGGTGACCACAATCGATATATAAAAGAAATGCACTTGTTCACCCTTTAACTTTGTTCATTTTTTTATAGCAAGATTACCTTTGGAATATATCAAATTCGAAGCTGGTCGTCCGTCTGTCCGTCCGGCGTTCAAAGTAGGTAGTCGCTTTGGCAAGATACCTGGGCATGCCGGACTGGTCATGCCATAAAGTGATGATTCTCCCTCGTTTGATTGAATGTGCGATGCTGTGGCTCCTGATATTTCTTTTTTAATTTTATTTTAAGCAAAATTGTTTTTCAAATGTTTAATATTTCCATGCACCTTCAGTTGGTTTCTGTTTGTATTGTATTGCTGTTTTGTGTTGTCTTTCAAATTCAAAATCAATATTCCACAATAAAAAATTGGAATTTAAAAAAGATGTATTTCCTTCACTCTAATCAGGGCCACACAACCAATCTTCATCAAGCGTCAAATCAAAAAGGAACGAAATTTATCCATTTAATCAGAATAAAGGCTCCTGTCATCATCTTTTATTCTTTTGTTTAGCATTTATTCGAATTCTCTCAGACGTGCTTTGTTTGACATTATTCATAAACATATGGTTTGACTATTGTGAATGATCGTAAATATGCATGCTTCTTCTTATTCTCAATAGCAAACAGAGGCGCACCCCACAAAGCCAACTATCCTGCTGATATCCTTATCAAAGGATAGGAGAAGTGCGACAAAGATATAAAAAAACAAAATAATTCAAAAATTCCATATGGGGTGGTTTTAAAAGTATCGGTATTCGAAATCCCTACTTTTATTGTGATCTGGCAACCCTAAGTATTAATTCTGAGCAAAAATTAATTATTTAAACATCATGTTTTATTTGCCACGTGTAAACGGTTAACCTCATATATGGTTTTACCATGTGTAAACCGAGTATAGGAATAACGTCATACGCCAAGCGTTACGGTTTAGTGTGGCGCACTATAACATATGGGCAACTGACGTTTATGAATGATTGCGTTGGGGCGCTTAATGCCATGTACAGACGAGCGTTGTTCGCTCTCTCATTCGTTGTTCGTCCCTAGATTATGAAGTAATTACTTAGTTCCCCATACAAAATTGTCTGAGCGAACACCGAATTTTGTACGTTGTTCAATTCGAATCACTCTCTGAATCACCAAGAATTTTGTCCCATCTCTAACAATTGAGAGAATTTATCGAAAATAAATTAATTTTGACAGCATGACAAAATTTTTCAAACTTTTTCAGTAAAATTGAAAATGATGAATGAAAAGTAACCAATATTCTAGTTTTTATATATGCAGAACGATGTTAATTTTGTTGTCTACATAATGCAATGTGCATTTCTTTCCCCTTGGTTCTAATTAGCGTACAAAACGAGAAACAAAAGTGGGGAAACCCAAACAAAAATTCTCCAATTTTTTAAATGTGACATTTGAGTTGAGAAAATATAAAAATGTATTGAAAACAACAATATTTTCAGAAAAAATGAAAAACATGAATTAAAAGTAAAGAGATAGGGGTTGATATTATAGTCAGGAGAAAGAGAATTATTTTTTCTATTTAGATCCATATGTGAATCACGCAAATATGTTACAATTTTGGTGTGAAACAAGAAACAAAAAGTTTGAAATAAAAAACTCTGATGACATGAATTAAGAATAGTGTTGTATGAACGGGTTAATTCATATACGTATTTCTGAGAGCGAACTACGTTGTTCGAATGCCCGTCAGAACATGGCATAAATGGCAACATTATTTGGCGGCTTGGATCAAGGGCGGACGGAAAAATGGAGTTTGCAGAAATTATTAAATAAAATGGTAAGCAGAGTGTAAAAAAATTAAAGTGAATATTAAAATAATTAAATAAAAATACGTGAAAGTGTCGGGTTATTGTAGTAAGTGAGTGTAGTGATTGTGAAAAAGTGTTTAAAGTGTAGAAAATTAATGAATGAAAAATCCTATTGGAAACATACAGTGCGGGTGTATGTGAAAATACTACAAGTGCAAATAATGAATGAAAAATAAAATAAGAAATAATTCTAAAGAAAATTATGATTTAATAGAAAAGAACAAGAAATAATTGAATAATAAAAATTATAAACTCATATTAATAATAAATCGGTAATATAATGAAATTAAACAATCCAGTGTGTGTAAGTGTATGGGTGCATATAGTGTAAAAGTAAAATGAAAAATTGCACTTATTCAAAAACTTGAGTTTGGCGGAAACCTAGTGTTAGAAAACTTAGAATATTTTCGAAAAATATGAGTGATAAAAAAATAGTACTAAACTTTGAGTGATAAATATGAAAGAGAATGAAAAGAATCAAACTAAAAATGGAAACTGCGGAATCAAAACAAAAAGTGAAAATAAATGAAAATATAACTATGAAAAAAAAGAAAGCCTAAGCAAAACTAAAAAGAAAATATTAATAAAAATTAATTTAAAATGAACCAAGACAAAATAAAGAGGATCCAGATTCTAATAAAGCTTTACAAAACGTACATGGATTTTTAAAGGAAATAAAGTTTAATACACAATTTTTTAAACATTTAAATCAAAGTGTTGAAATAAATAACTTTTTGGAATTTGGAACTTTTTGAAATTTGTGAAAGTCTGAAATAACTAATTATACGGTTAAACGAATATATAATAAATAAAAAAACTTGCATGATGATTAAACCAACTTGAAATTAATTGTGTGAAACTTTCCTCGAAAATTGTGCAATATTGAAACAATATTGTGAAATAGCGAAATTAATAAAAACTGCGGCAATGGAAGGAATAGTCGAAAGTGATCAAAAGGAAATAAACTATGCGTGATAATCTTTTGCGTTTCTATCTTTTTATATTTTCAGATTTTGGATGGCTTATCACAAAATAATGGGTGAGTTCGACAAATTTTGCTTTCTTTCTCCACTACAGGTGTACCATCAACTAGACCACCAGCATTAGTCAGGGTGTCGGATACGCAAGTATTTCAAACTCATCAATGTGAGTTTGATCGTGTCTTCCCTGCTTCCAGATTCTAACGTCGTAATTCGAATCTCGACTGATCCGCGATCGTGTGTACAACACTCCCCTGCCTTGTGCCAAAGATGCGAATGGGTATATAAAGGGGGAGTGCACTAAAGGTCAAGGACAGTCACAACCGTGACTGCTTGGGAGTCGTTGACATAAAGTTAGAGTCGGTAAGCCTGGGTTGCTTTCTGTCGTACTCTGACTACAACTTTCTGACTTTTGCTGGCTGATTCTAAAAGATCGGACTCCTGCTAGTCGGTGCAAAGTAGACTAGATTTCGGAACTCCACTATCAAGCACACTATCCGTAGAAACCAAAAGAGAAACCGCTGACGGAAACTATCTGCTGATCAGGATCTACGATTCAAAAATGTAAGTTACGGCCTCCTTTTAATATTTATTTTATAATATATAGAGTATTTAAAGATTAATAAAAAAACATAGTTTAGATTCTATCCAATGAAATAAATATGATTTTTCTCAGATTAAAAGAAATTGAAATTAGGTTAAAATACTCGCGTAAGTCGTTCTGGCTTGAGATTGCATAGCACTCTCACCATATTATATATTTATATTCAACTTATAAGCCTTTACTTATACTCTACTAATTCACATATTTCCCCTATACTTCCATGGTCTAACACTACGAGAAATTTGCACCATACGCTCTTGGATTATAAGCATATTTGGATTTCGTAAGTAGTAATTCAGGTTAGTAATCTCCTATAATTTATTCTTAAAATGTATCTAATATAAAACTCTTATTCCATTCTAGGTATTGCTGACTTCAAACTAAAGGAATGATTTGTCCCTACTCTGGATGACTTCAGGTGAGTAAAGGAAAACGTAGTTTAGACAATTTATTATTGATATATATTTAATATTCATTTATAAAAAAAAATATAAATGTAATAATTCATTGACTGGGAATTGACCCATGAGATAGCTGACCAGCAGCAGACTCATATAAAAACGAATAAGGGAATTCCAATAGCTACTAGTCAAGAACTAGTCATCAATTTAAAAAGTCGGTACCAACAAATTCAAGTTGAGAGCCACGAAGAGAAATTAAATAATTTGAATACTCATTCACTCCAAATTCAATATTTGAGTGAAAAAGAGATGGTTAAATAATGATTAAAATTCAACTTGCTGAAGATATAACTAATATGAGATGTATAGATTACGTTTTTAAATTCAGTTGGCAAAACAAATTTCATCTCTACCCATATTT